CTAACATCTGTGCCTATCCTCCTCTATTTTGTATATGGGACGCTACCACAGCATGACTTAATGAGCAGTCTGTAGGTCTGCGACCAAGATCCGAACCCACGAACCCCGGGCCGCCAAAGCAGAGTGAGCGAACTTAGCCACTACAGCATTGGGCCGGCCCTCAAGACCGAATTTTTAACAAGCTCCTGGATGAAAGCTGCTGTTGCTACTCCACGGACCATACTTTGAGAACCAAGAGTCAGAAGTGCTGGCTCCTTTATCCTTTCTCTGTGGATGTGGTTTTTGTGTAAGTTAATCAGAGATATACTAAGTGATCCAGGTCTAGGGCTCAAATATCTTTTGGGTACTAAAAGCCAGAGAAGACAATTTGATTTTGTTCTATAGGTTGCCTGACTAGATCAGGAGAAGCAATCATGACTCATTTGGGGCGATATGTTACCATGGCAACTTTCAGAAATCTGCCTTTCAACCTGAGGGCTCCTGGACATCACTGCCAATCACAGCAAAGGACCCCAAAGACCCAAAGAGGGTTGCCCATGTGGCTGTAGCCACTCAGGACTCTGTGTCTCCTGAGAGATGCCGCTGAGTTTGAGCCCCTTCCTCAGCAGCAGTTAACAGTGACCCCCGTACTGAGTTCAGAAATAATTCTCCCTCAGCACAAATAAACCAGAGTGAAGAATAAACTGCAGCTGGAGTTTGAGGGCATCAGCGTTGGTAGAAAATTTACCATAGAAAGCAAGAGGATCAGAGGGATAGAGTACTCGTTACCCCAGCGGGAATTCTTAAATGAGAATGGTCCTTTCAAGTTAATGTATTGGTTTCTTACAAAAATGAAAAGCACAGACACACTTTTAAGTCTCACTTTCTCCTATTTTATTCTCTGTTGTACTCAAATATATCACATATGTACGTTCTATTTTTATCAAGCCAACCATAAAAAGAAAAATCCAAAAATAACCCCCAAAACAGTGCGTTAGATTCTGTATTAAATTCCATCCCATTCCCAACTTCTTATCTCTATAGGGAAAAAACCTAAGGTGGAAGGAAATAGTCTGAGAAGGTGTAGTTTTGCCCATAGGACGCATTTTTGTCCATCCAGCTGTTTTTTCCTAGAATTTGTACTTATTTAATTCCCTGGAACAACAGGTGCAGATCTGCTTGTCTCTGCCTCACTGGGTTGTCCTCATGTCTTTTGTGAGCTCTTTATTCAGGGCTCTGTTGAATGACACAATCCAAGGAACAGATTCTTTCAGGACACAAGCTGCAGGAGTGACATTTAGCTTATTCCCTCCGGGGAGACCTACTCTTTCGACGGGATACCAAGGGGAAGCTTTGAAGGCATCTGTGTGAAGTGGCAGACATTTCATTATCTCTGCTTCCAGCCGGAGGAGCTGTGGGCAAGAGAGCAAGACCACTTGCCACAGGGAAAGTTCTGAGGCTTTTGGCTGACAGTGCTCAGGTCTTCTGTGCCCCACGGTGCTGGGCGTGGCATATATATGTGTGTGATTTCTGAAGCAACAGCAAATTTCCGTAGAAAAACTTTACGGGCCAAAAATAAAGTATATGTTTATGTAATACATTTATGTCAGTGAATAAATTTCCTGGATCTTTCTGTAATTGTAAAGAGTTTAAAAATAAGGCTTTAATTATTGCAATTCAGATAAAGAAATCAGAAGCCACACGGGTTGGGGCTAAGATGGCTGGGAGCAGAGACAGCACATTTTTACCCTGGTGCCTCCTCAGTGACATTTTTTTTAAAGGCGAATGTTGACTTGATTCTTAATACTGTGAGGAATAGATTGTAGGGGACATTGTGTAAAAGCTAGGTTGTGACCTATGCAGAGTGAATGTCAAAAGGGCTCATTTTCCAGAAGTTAGCCTGGGACACTTAGGGGAGGGGAAGGAGGGAGAAGAGGAGAGAAGAGAGAGGGAAAGAGGGAGTGAGAAGATCTAGGGGGAGAGGAGAATGGAGAAAGAGGGAGAGCCGGGGAGGAATTGGGGAAGAGGAGAGCGGGGGAAGGAAGGTGGAGGAATCAGGAAGGGAAGGAGAGGGAGACGAGAGGAGGAAGGGGAAGTAGGAGCGGGCCAGGGGAGACGAACTGACATTTGCTTTGCATTCATTATATGTCAGGCAGTGTGCTCTCACATAAATTACTTCATTAAATCTTCACAAAGACTCTGCAAGTCAGATATATTTTAATCCTCAATTTTTAGATGAAGAAATTGAGGCTCAGAAGTGTTAAATAACACGTCTGAGGTCCCAGAGCATGGAACAATGGTTGGAAGCAAATACTGACTCGTGTCCCTTCAAAACTCCTACTCCTTTCTTAGTGTCATCTATCTGGAGCATTTGCCTTTGGACAAACTGAAAGAAGGGGGCAAAGGAAGCCTTTGGCACAGCCTTTCACTGCGTCAGCTCTGTACTGAGGCTCTATTTTCAGTGATGATGGTGATCTGAGACAAGACTACATTTGGAGCATTATAGAATTCTGCAGTAAAGACAATGTCTTAGAAGGATGAGCTTACGAAATGAACTATACACTTCATGAGATGAAGCAGCCTTAGCAAGCACTATTTGGAAGAAGCTATTTTCATTGCTCTGGATAAAATCATAATCTTGACTTGAGCGGTTCCATTCCACACAGGGGCCATCCACAGCAACTGTCATTCTCTAATCAAAGAGTTGGCTTGCTTCACATCCAAATATGACTCCTCCCTATCTGGGAAGAACTGACTAGTTTATGAGACTTCAAAAGGCATTTTCACTTTTTTTTTTCCTTCTAGAAAATCCAAATGAAACACAAAAGCAAAAACCTACAACAAACCGAGAGGTACTAGGGCATGACACATAGTAGGCACTCAACCATTCTTGGTTGAAGTAATGAATGAATGAATGTTCAAAGCTCTCCTGGAGAAGTGATCAATCACTTTCATGAAAAAATCACTGATGTGTTAAGAACTGTATGGAAATAGCATTGTACACAAGTGTCAGTTTTAATTGGTTCGATTCCAGTTGGTCTGCCTCCCACAGAACCTCATTATCTAAGGGGTGATCACACTGCTAAGAGTGATGTTTCTAGAGTTTATTCCCTGGAACACCCATAGCGGAATCACTTGGGACCCGGCCCATATATTAGGGGTCAAGGTCTTGAAATCTCTATTTAAATAAGATCCCCTGGAAATACATTATTCAAACTAAAGTTTGAGAACTACTGATATGGGGGTTAACCATGCCTCTCTATTATACTATTATAGACTCAGAGCTGTCTATAAAAGAATTTAGATGGTAGCTCACTTAGGTAAAAATTAGCTAGGACTCAATCTTATACTACTATAGATTCTAGACCAATATTTCCCAATCTTTAGTATATATGAGTCACCCAGGGAGTTTACTAAATGGTGGATTCCCAGGCCCCATCCAAAGGGGCTGAATTAAAGCCAGACTTCCTGCATTTTAAACAACTACCCCATGAGATTCTGAGGCAGGTATTCTGCTAATTTCACATCTAATGCAGAGCCCTTCTGAGAAACAATATTCCTGTCAAATAGTTATGCAATCTCTGACAGGACACCTTCTCACTGATTCTGCCACCTCTCAAGGTAATAAAGGCCATTTTTAAGTAGCTTTAATTGCCAGAAATTTCTTCTTATGTTAAATCAAAATAAAGTCTTATATAATCTGTCTATCTGGTTGTCTTAATTAGAACTACACAGAAGACTTTAGTCTCCAGTAGTATTTTTAAGAAAATAAACTTGACCAAGAAATTAAGTCCTTTTTTCCCTCTGGATCCCTGTTTTGCTCCTTCAGCAGAGAGTGGGTGGGTGAGGAAAATGTAGGGATCCAAAATTATATCCCTGATGAGAAGACAAGGGCCTCTGCTATTTGCATAGCAACAATAGTTAGAAAATCAGACATCTAGAAAAACTTGGAATTCTCATTTCCTAGAATAATATCACAACATGCATAAACAAACAAACAAAAAACCCAAAACATGTCATTCTGAGTTGCCCCAGATTTGGGAGAGTCCTGTTTGTCAGAATAATGATGCTGAGGGAAAAGGTTAATAAGGAATAAGGTGAGGCTGATTCAGATGAGGTAGGGGCCCTCCTGTAAGAAATAATGGGAACCCTCACTTCTCCCATATGCTCACTCATTCTTGTCCAGTTGCAGCCCTACCCAGGGCAGGCAGCTGGTTCTTATGCCTGCAAAAGTCAGCTGTTAGGGGTAGATTCAGAGAAGGTGACTGGCTGGAAAAATACAGGCATGTTTCCAGGCCTTTCACTGGGGCTTCCCCAAATCCTCATTTGTATGCCTAGTTTAAAAAAATATATATTTTATTTTATTTTATACATGGATTTCAAAAGAAATTAATTACTAGTAAAGTTTCAAAAGGCAGCAAGAATGGATTTAAACATGAAGGGAGGGATACCCAGAGTAGCCCCATGGGAGTATTGGGTCTATCATTTAAAGCAACGTGATTGGGCAAGTTAAAATATCTGTGTCCCAATTATTCATTTACAAAACGGGGATAATAATAACAAGTAACTTTTAGCGTTGTTTGAGGATTATATGAGGCAACATAACGTGTTAATTCTTAAACATCTGTTGGTACATAGTCAGTACTCAAAAAACAGAATGTCAGTCATTATTATTAGCATCAGTAATAGTAGTGCTAGTTTGCCAGAAGGATATTCACGAACCAACACCAATTAGTTGTTTTTGAATGGTCCTTAAAATGATGACACAAGTCAGGATGAGCAAAAGGGGGAATACAAATGAATACATTAAATGGAGAATGGTGCTTTTACCTTCATTTTCCCATTCACTTAAGTAGGGAGAGATTGAATTTGGGAGTTGGGGGAGTGGGAGGCATTGAGTCTAGAGTGACCTGGCTCATAAACCTGGACTGTTTCCATTTTTCTTAGGGAAAATTTCTTTTCTTTCTGCTACTCTAGCCAATTTTAGGGTATAAGATTCAGACATCAGAAGTCTTGCTTTATTTAGATGTTTCTAATGATCCAGTTCTCAGATTGTTTACCCTTTGTGGTGGGAAATAAGAACAGGGGAAGTCCAGAATGAGAATTCAATATGTTTTCTAAGAATGTCTGGGATGGTTAGGCCCTAAATGTTCTTAAACACAAAATAAAACTTAAGTGAAGACATTTAAATCATTACCAAGCCCAGCATCTCAATTTCCACATTGGTTGAGATGCAGGGAGCATTATGAATTCTAGACTGTCTTCAGCATCCTTGCTGTGTAAGCTCTGGGATTCTTTTTTTCTCTGCAAAATGAGAATGAAAACACCTGCTTCGCATAACTTACAGCATTGTTGAGAACTTTAAAGAAAAAAATTAAAGCGCTGATCCAATGCAAGTTGGCATCACTCTCACAGTCATAGCTCAGAAGTCATGGCTCCATTTTGGAATTTTCATGGGTCTACAACCTCTCCTGAAAGAACAGCACAGGGGAAGGATACACCTAAGGTTTTCTCCCTTATTTTGAGGCCCAAATGGCTCAATGTTGTTGTGATCTCATATTCCACAGACCAATTTGGGGTTCCTGAATAATAAAGTATGATGCCCGGAGGAAAGACATTTATGCTGGCACACTGGGGGCTGCCTTAATTCGGGTCATTGATGTGAGTCAGCAGAGACAAGGTGGAACCCTCCCTACCACCATGCCAGACCTCATGTACTTGACACTCAAACCATGTTTTTATTTCATTAATAAAATATGACCTCACTTTTCTTCTGTAATCCAGAAGCATGGGGATACATTTGTTGCAAACTGCATGCAGGTAAAAGGGGGATTCCTCTTGAAACTACATCCTCTTAATAATAAATAATGTTTGATCTACTATATATAACAGTAGTGCATTTCTTGTTAAAACAGCGAGCTTTTCTTTTTTTACCAAAATGAAAAGAAAACATTCATTTCTTTATAAATATTTTAAATAGTTTAAATACATATTTCATACCAAGGATATAAAAATAGCCTCTTTTTTTTTGATAAATAAAGACATGTTCATTTACATGGCAAATAACGTGCAATTGCTAACCACTGGCCACCAGCTCTGTTGGACTGATTGTCTAGGAGATGACATGCAGTGATAATTGTCCCTTCACCTTCACAAAGAGAAAAATAGATCGGCAGGAGCTACGCACTCCTGAGGCCAACAGGGCTATGGCTATTGTTCAGGAATGACAACCAGGCACTCTGGAAAAAGCTTTGCCGCACTTCACAAAAGCCACTTAGGACAAAACGAATCCACAAATTCTTTGTCTGGGACTTCTAGTTGCTCAGACCCTCAGGGTCTTTGGACTTTTACCAAAGTCTGTCAAACAGACCAGAAAGTTAGTATCTGTACAGGAAAATGTTTCTATTATGTTTCTAGGATCTAGAAAGTGTTTGCTACAGTATGGAGGTGGTTCTGCCTTTCTGTGGCTGCTCACACTCTCGTCTGCAGGACTCCAACTTTGCCCAGTCTTCATGCCTGCCAGAGGCAAAAAGGCAAACTAAAGCTGTCATGCAGTGGTGGATTTGAAATTGGCAGCTACCTCGCATGCACGAATATCATACATTTATGGCTTTATTGTTATCTTTCACTGCTGCTGTGCTTGTGACAACTTCCAATGGAAAGTTCTCCAAGGGTTCAGTAGAGACTGGTGCCATTCCTTCCCGGTCCCAAGATCCGGGCAAGTTTTCCAGACTGAAGGAACTCACGGCTCCCTGGCTGAAGCTGCCCTCCTCTGATCTACTTGGGAGAACAAGGTGCAAAGATGTTTCTGAGGAGGAGCAAACAGAGGACGAGAGAGTCGCCGAAATGGACTGCAGAGGTGTCAGTGTAGAATCTGAATGTGGAGAGATGCACCTTAGAAATTGCAAATGACCTTCTTGGACAACCTGGTAGTGGGCAGGTGAATAATCGAGGTTTGGAGAATGATAAAGTTCACTGTCTACAGGATTTTGCTCATGAGCTCCAGTTCGTTGGGGGCTGTTCCCCACAGAGGAGGGATCCACACTCCAAATGTCTGAGGTGACATTACCGTGACAAAGTTGTGCTTGGGTATAAGCAGCTCCACCTGCTTGCAAGTGTAGACAAGGTTGGTGTGTACTCCAGGTTGTCCTGGTCTGTAAGCTGTCCCTGGAGGGACACACAGAGGGGGTGTGCAGAGAGCAAAACCGTGATGACCGCTGGGGTGACAGGACGTTTTCTAGGAGCTGCATCACATTCTTCATATCTTTACCTAACTGGGAGACCTCCTGAGTCAATGTTGTTACCTGTGTGGATAAAGCAGAGAAAAGGCAATAGTCAGAGGTGCATGGTAGTGATTTCCAAGCAGTGAGGCAGGGAAGTGAGATCTCTTAATGAGAAGGTCTGAGAGGTTGCTCCACCTCTAACTCCAGCCGAGTCTAAGGGGTGAACGGGGAGGCTGGGTACCTGCTCTAAAGCTATCCTCATTCTGAGGGAACCTAGAGAGACACAAAGAGTCTAGCGTTCTTAGTCAGTGATTCTGGGGTTCTTGAACAAAATTGGAGCTGTAGAGTCAGACAAGAAAGTCACATAGCGTGTGATCTTACTTATATGTGGAATCTAAAAAAAAAAAAACTCAGAAAAAGAAATTAGATTTGTGGTTACCAGACGCAGGGGGTGGAAGGAGGGGGAATTAGAGGAAGGTGGTCAAAAGGTACAAACTTTATAAGATAAATAAATACTGAGGATGTGATGCACAACATTACCACAGTTAACACTGCTATATGGTACATTTGAAAGTTCCTAAGAAAGTAGATCCTAAGAGTTCTCATCACAAGGAAAAAAATTTTTTTCTTCCCTTTTTTTGTATCTGTATGAGATGATGCATGTTAACTAAACTTATTGTGGTAATCATTTTACAATACATGTAAGTCAAGTCATTATGCTCTACACCTTAAACTTATACAATGCTGTATGTCAATTATATCTCAATAAAACTGGAAAAAAATTAGAGATGTGGGTCCATCATCTCTTATATCTTAAGTATGGACAGTATCTCTCACTTCCTCTGAGTTAGTGGGATGCACAGGGGTGGACACAATCATCCCAGACACCTCAGAACCGTGTGGAGTGGTTGGTGTTGTATGTAAAGCACTCAGCACACCTGTCCCAAGTAGACATCCAGTAAATGAGACCACTCACTTCTGTCATTTTCTGTTCGAGATCTATGCTTATTCTAGGTTCAGAGACACACTGGCCTTCAGTGATGGTGGCAGTGGTAAGCAAGAACTCACACCAGATTTGCTAGGAAGAGAGTTTTCAGAAAAAAAGGAAAGCTACAAAATGAGAAGGAAAGCTACAAAATGAGAGTTGGAAAAAAATTTAAAGACCTGCAAGGTGGGAAAGTATAGATAAGCACTGTGGGGAACCAGGAGTGCTGGGATCCATCAGTGAACCCGGAAGTCATGGAATTATAACCCAAATTGTGTGGTATGTGCCATATCCACTTTTCTAGGTGAGACATTTAGTTTTTGTCAGATTTTCAAAGGACACGTAACCCTCAAACACTTAAGAAGCACTCAAGAATCCTCATTACTCATTTTATACTTAAAACCGATAATAAAATTCACTGGAGGGTTTATTTTCCTAACAACCACATCACTTTTTGAACCATGGAAGACCACTAAAAGGATTGAATTTGACTTTAATCCAGCTCTTTCTGGAGAGTTTATATTCTTCAAGGTGAAAAAACCCTATATTTCAGAAAGCAGGACACACATAGATTTTCTAGTCTTTTGTTAGGTTGATAACACTTACAGATTTTGTAATAGTTTGCCTTCATTGCTGTAAGACTATATTTTATAAAAGACTTCCTATGACTTGGTTTTATTATCACAAACCACAAAACTCCAATATAAGCAGCTGAACCCATTGGCTTAATACCATCAGAAAACAAAACAAAAGAGCAGTTCAACCTCAGTGATGCCAAAACCAAGACTGCTGTTTTGGGCAGAATTTTTTCAACATTTATGGATGCATTTCTCATTCATCCAGCAACTTAATCCAGTCCACTGTCTATGAGCGCATTCTGAAACTAATTCTCCCTGGCAGGCCCATCAGGAGGTAGTGCCGCTCAAATCAGGCATTTCAAAAAGGCCAGAAGGAGGTTTTTCCATGGTTCGGGCAACCAGCTGGTAACACCTGCCTTGAAACTGCCAGGCCAAAACTATTTCTGCCTTGCTGCTAGCATGTAACTCGAGGGACCCCATTGAATACTTCTCCAGCCTTTGCAGCAGATCTAAAACTTATAGAGACAAAAGATACCTCTGAGTCTCACATTTAAGAAGTGAAACAGTGAATATGAGAAAGATTCTGTGGTTTGAAATTTTCACTGCAGGTTGTCAATTTCATCATCTGCCAAGGCTCAATTCTAAAGCACATGTATCACGCTTAAATCATTATCTGGATCTCAGCACTGTGGACTTTCACCTACGGATTCCATCTTGAACTGATTAGCTTCTTTATCAAAATTTCAGAAGAGAAGCTGACGCTAAATGAGATGTTTGAAGTGACATATTAGCCATCCATTCCTGTAGGTTGTCTAAGCTTAATTCCTGTATCAAATTCACTAGGGCTACATTAGCTCAGCTCCCAATAAAAATCCTTTCAATTGGTCTTTCATTAGAATTGAATAAAGACACAGTCTTTGAAGAACAATTTTGCATTTTAGGCACACCAGCAATTACGTTATTCAATAAATGTTTAAGGAAATTTATATTGCAACGTGTTTTCAGGTACATTTTCCCTACTGGATCTGTAAACAGTGCTGAGATAGGCAGGGATACATTATTATTTCCCCACCTATAAAAAGAGGAGACTAAGACCCAGAAGTTAAATGACATTTTTAAGGTCCCTCATTTTGTGAATGACGGTCTTTGGTCTAGAATTCAAGCCTCTAAGCTTGGTGCCCTTTTTGTTGTGGTATATTATCACATAGAAAAGGAGATATTGCTTAAGAGTTGAGTGATTTTTGCTAACATGGTCAGACTTTGTGAAGAGCACAGACAATACAAAAAGGTAGCCTCATGTGTAAAAGCTGTCTGAAATGCTAATTCAGTGTCAAATAAGTATGTTAACTCTAAAAGAATGGGAGCCTGATTTAGCACAGTCACATCTCTTCACAGCAAATTATATGAATGCAACAATAACAAAAAAGTTTTGCAATAAGGGAAAATCTGGACAATATATTAGCAGACATGTTTCTGATGAACTATTTTTTCTAGCTTTAAAAATAAACAGATTTTTTCCCATGGTTGAAATACCTTTCCATGGCCATGTTCTTGACTTCTAACTTTTACGGTGCATTTGCCACAACTTTGAGGCCATGAACTTTGAATGGGAATCCAGAGTCTTGACTGGCTCCAGGAATGTAAGTAAGCATTAACATTTTCAGAAAACAAAATTACTATATAAGGAGGAAAGAATCAAAGGAAACAAAGCTTTCTTTAGCTCTAGAGGGTAATGATCAATTTATGTTAGGGAAGATTCCTGTCACTGTGTCACTGGGGACACACCCCTACATCTTATTAAAGTTACATGAGGAAATTAATCCCTATTAGGTAAGAGATCTCTCCCTTTAAAAGGACAAAGCAGCTGTCACAAGGAGAGATGGCATCTCCTGGAGGTGGAGACTCTAGTGACACTGAAGGTGACAACACATCGCCACAGAAAATGCAGTAACATGCTGGGCTTGCTAACAAAACTCATTCTACATGAAAGACCTTGGTCTTCATCAAATGTAGGAAGCAAAGAATACAGTGTCTCTTACTTTCTAAGGATGATGAGGCTCAAGACTTTTTCACAGCACAATAAGGTGTGCATTTGCTAAAAAACGTTGTTGGGGCTACTTTGTGAACAAGGCTCTGTCCACTTAAGGAGACGTATCTTCAAAATACAACTTAAAACCAGAGTACTGCAGAGATAAGTCAATAAAAACAAACAGAAAAATCATTCAGATCAAATGAACCAAAGTTTTCCCACTTACCTCAACAACTGCTTAAATCTTCAAATGTTTTCTGTCACTCATATGAGAAAACACAATCTCCTTTTGAGTAGATATTACAAAGCCTTTCATAAGCCCCAGCTTAGTTTTTGATGGCCCCATTTCCTGCACTTTCCCCCTTGCACACCATTAGACTGAACACAGGGAGGGTCTCAGCTCACTGTGCTCGTGCACTTGTGCGTGCTGTTCTCTCTGTCTGGTAAGTTTCTTTTCTCCCTTCAAACTTCTATTCCCTCACTTTCTCTGCAGAGCTTTTTCCTGACAGCTTGTTGATATTCACATAGCAGTTCGAGCATCATATAGGACTGTCTGCCCCCAGCTAAGCTATAAGTTCCTTGAGGGTAGAAACGGTTATTTATGCCAGTATCTCCTGAAGCCAGGGGACTCCTAGAACACAACATGCGCTCAGTAAATCTTGAATATACAAGTGAATGTGATTCCTATGATTATGAAGGACTTGGTTCTCACATCACCTTCAATTTTTATCTTATTTTGTCTCATGATTTTACCATAAATATCCTGGGGAAAGCTGCCTACTGCAAAATTATATTGGGAAATCTGTATCTGGTCTTCTTCATTCCAAGTAAATATGTTAAAAGTAGGTATTGTGATTGTTAAAGTTTTCATATATAAATTTCCTAAACCAAATCCTTGGGTATCCCCTAGTTTTTAAGAGCAGTTGGAATTTCCAGTGTTAGATTCTTACTGTGTTTCCTTCATAATTGCAGAAAAAAGTCTCTTTTGGCCAAGACTTCCGCTACACTTCATTTATCTTAGTGCTTTGTCACTGGTCCCAGCATAAACTTGATTTCCATGAGTAGTTTTAATTCCCTAGGGAAATTTTCCCTGTTTACTGACTCCTATATCTCATGACTACATTATGAGTGCCAAGTGACGAATCAATTAAGTTATTCAGAGTTGTTTCATCAGTTGAAATTTGGCAAACCTTTTTGCATCCCTGGTTGCTACCCTGGATGGCTATTTTAGATGCGGCCTTCTGATTATTTCTACTTATAAAGATAATAGATAAAGAAACTATAACTTAACATGCATTATTCTCTTATTTATGTATTAAGTTACATATTCTTATTTTATTTTTTTGTGTGTGTGTGTGAGGAAGATTAGCCCTGAGCTAACACCTGATGCCAATCCTCCTCTTTTTGCTGAGGAAGATTGGCCCTGGGCTAATATCCGTGCCCATCTTCCTCCACTTTATATGGGACGCCACCATAGCATGGCTTGACA